AACGTGTTGAATCTCAAAATTTACCATGGTTGTAACTAAAATATCCATAATTTCATTACGAACACAACCATACCAACTAATAAAAATACAAACGTTGTGTGGAGTCCCGATAGTCCATTATTTTCTTTAATGTCAAGAAATAAGGACGTTTATGAGTGCATCTTACGTCTGTGATATCTAGCATCGAGTGGCAGTACTCGCTTTATATTTTTTTTTTGTAAGAGAACACGAAAAACGTCACAAATACATTGTAAGTCATTTATAAAATGAAATCTAAAATCCAGACTTTTAGCAGTTTTGACACATTTGTAGTTCAAAATACGCAGTGGCGGACTAAGAGCTTCAGAGCGGTAAAGCTGAATGAGGCCCCTAGTTTAAGGAATTGATCTAATTAAACAAGCTTTTTTCACTTTACATTTGTATGTATAAGTTTTTATGTTTATTTAGTTAAAATCTTGTAAATTTAAAGTTTTTTATAGTGCTAATCTCTGCATTTAACTTTTTTCTACAAGTTTTAATAAAAATAGTGTTAATCTTGTAAGTGAAATTCAAATTGAGCTTAAATAAATATACACAGAATATAGAGATGGATGAGGAAAATAAAATACGAATCGATCTGCAAAAACTAAATAAATAAAGTAATAGGTAGGTAGTTTTTATTTCCAATAGGTTTCTGGAACTAATACAATATAGACATTATAAAGATTAGTAGCAGTGGCGTCGATTGCCTTAGACGGGACCTCAAATCAAAATGTATCGTTCCAAATGAAGAGTTAAGATTTTTCACCAAATGAATATACACTTTTCTCCGGAAAATGTATTTATTAAACCATCCATAGCGAAGACGATTTAACTTTTTCCAGATTTTCTGCCGCTATACAGCTGTCGTTACAACCGCGACAATAAATGAACACACATATAGAGGATAACTTTACAAAATTGTATTAAACATTTACATTCTTTAATCATCAGTATTAACCGAGTAACGTACATCCTGTTATGTACATATTGTTAGAAGGAGAGACTTGTAATGCGACGCTGTGGCGACGAATGAAAACGTCTCAGAATGTATGAATCAGTCAGTTGTAGTTGTATAGGATGTTATAAAATTTGTTGTATTTTTGCTTAATTAGTTTGTTTGAAATTTTTTTTTTAATTATGGTTTTTTTAACGTTTATATTTTTTTATGATTATTGGCAAGTAGCGTTAGACATGTGTTCATTTATTGTCGCGGTTGTAACGAGACGCTGTATAAAATAGTGACTTATCTGATATTCATTCTTGTCGCATATTAATCTTAAGATTTATCAGTATTGATTACGAAAAACTAATTTTCATCTGTTGCAGTTGTAACCAGAAGGGCTAAAAATACAAAGCATGCCGCTATTACCTCAGGAAAACGATGCAAGGCTATTGAATTTTATACGAAATAATTTCATGAGCTCTATAATGGAATGAATTTACACCTTTTCAGGGTTTAAACACGTTTTATAAGAAACTAGCTGGTCCGGCGAACTTTGTTCCGTCCTATAGGCAACAAATGATCACATTTTTTCCTTTTTAAATTCGGATAATTGTAAATAAAAAAAAATCTATTAATTCACTTTTCAGTGTAACACCTTGTGATAAACGACATTTTTCGTTTTTTTATCAGGCGCGAAAACAAATAAGGCAGAAGGTCTTTCGACCCGTGAACATGCCACATATAATTGACCATGGAAAAAACATGGATGTTCTAGATTAAGACCACAAACTTTCAAGGATTGGCCTTGTGATTTATTTACAGTCATGGCAAATGCAAGACGGATCGGAAATTGAAGTCGTTTAAACTCAAATGGCACGTCGTTCGAGATTATCGGGATCCTCGGAATGAGAACTTCCTCACATTTTGAATTTTCCTTTAAGTATTGTGGCGTAAATGAAATTGTTCATTAATTTACTTACCACCAAACGTGTTCCGTTGCACAGTTTTGGTTGGTTAAAGTTTCGAAGCATGAATACTACGGAACCAATCTTTAGTCGTAAATTGTGCGGTGGTAAGCCAGGCACATCCAAGGAGTTTAAAAACTCAATTGGATAGTTGGTGGCATCATCTTCATTTGTTACACAGTCAATAGATTTGAAAGAATGCAGTGTACCAATGATCTCATTCTGAATTATGTAGTTTAAGTCATCTACATCTTTATTCTTAGCCGCCAAAATTGCTCGCTCACTCAACCATTCAATATTTTTGTGGTTAGTAATGATGTTTGGGAATACTTTGTTGATGAGTTCGTCTTTCGATGAGACAAAGTTACAGAAATTCGGAGGAAATTAAATCAATCCGCTCGATTCGTCGACAGGTACTCAACCATTACCTATAGTTAGTTATCAGTGCTGCAATCGTATCGAAATACTGCCCGATTCAAATCAGTAGATATTTGATGAATTTCTTCTTGTTCGTAAATTATCTCTTGTGTTCGTAATTTGCTCTTGTGAGTGAGAAGCACGAAGTCGAGCCATACTAACGCTACGCTCTTCACGTGCAATTTCTTGCTCTTCTTCAGTCCTTTCATTCGCAATGTTGCTTTCGCTTTGTTGAGAAAGATTTGATCGTCTTGTTCGCAGCATGGTATTGTTATTAATGATAATATCGGAACAGCAACATAATAATTTAAACAAATGCATCAACCGGTCAAATCTTTTTTAAATATGTTCAGCTGTCAGTTGCGTTTTGTTATACCATTTTTAACAAATGCACTGCTGACTTATATTTTGACTGAGTTGTTTTGTTAATCCATGTCAGTTGCATTTTGTTATACCACGTTTTGTCACGTCCCACGGGAACGACGGGAACGGGATGAAAACGTATCCTATGTCCTTCTCCTAGTTCTTAGCTACCTGCCTACCAATTTTCAGCCAAATCGGTTCAGCCGTTCTTGAGTTATAAATAGTGTAACTAACACGACTTTTTTTTATATATATAGATTGTTCATACAGATCAACCGACATGTCGTGACTATTTTAGCAGACAGTTGCGTTTCTCTATATCTTTTTATTATTTCGTGAAAAGAATGCTAAGTAAAATATCAACTTTTTATAAGTCATTATTTTCATGCTGTAGAGCTGTAAAAAGTAAAAGTAAAGTAACAGCCTATAAAAACTGAGTTTGAAATAAGCCTGATACAATCTATAATATCGAATTTGATATTAGGACGTAAACAACCTCAATCAGTTTTGTGAATTTGGTAAATATTCGAAACGACGGGAATGAAAACCAAAATTAAACACTGTAAAATACAAGAAGTCATTTAATGAAAGATGTTCTCTTCAACACATTGCTAACAATGGCGTTGGTCAAAGTTTTAGTTCAAGTATAAATGTGCCAGACAAATATATATTTATTCTCGAGTATGCCTTATATTTCAGTGCTGGGAATTATTCGAGTTCGTAAGAATCATGTTGAATGGGTAAATAAAACTATTTTACGCTGTAAACAGTTTGAAACGTCCGTAATGTAAAATGAAAATAAAAGTGTCAAAAATCAGTAAAATAGTTTTATTTAACAATATATGGTATCTATTCGCATAAATGAACGATGATCACGATAAACAATGTAAACAATTAACGATTTCATAAATGAATCGTGGAACCAATTCTTTAATTTATTTATCAGTACATCTTGTTTTAAATTATTGTAACATTTACTTTTAACAGAAATTGATGAGCAAACAGACAAAGTAAAATTTATATTCATGACGAATTAAAGTAAAATTTATTCAATGACACAATATTTTGCTATTAATTCGCTTAAAACAAAAAAACATCACTACCTTATGTTAATGCTTTAAAACTATCTTGTACTAACCTACATGTTTATGTTCATTCCTGTATTAAACTTAAACATTCGAATCCAGTATTTTATTTTTACCTATTGGTACCTACGTAATATGTTTATAAAAAGATGTGCATTAATCAATTCATGATTTAAAATATTTTTCAATGTCCGGTGTTAATAAGGGTGTTAACATTTGTGAATGTAAGAAAATGAGAAAATTGATGAGACGAAGTGACATTTAAAATCATCGGTTCCATCCGAGCAAATAAATTGCATAGGTTCACTCACCTTTCATTACATAATCAAAGCATAAAGGAACATGAGCATAGATTGGAATGAAGTTAAATGCGTGCAGGTAGTGTTCTATTTTAAATGATTTCTAAAAAGAATTAAGTTTTGTTCTTTATTGTTTAAATTACGCTTATAAAATAACTACATAATATATTATATCAATAATATCATAGACCTTCTATGATAGACGTTTGAAAAAATAATGCAAAAAAAAAACGAATTTGCATTTTAGTGTTAAATGGAATACACCTAAATATCTTTATATTAAAATAAATTAACCATGAAACGTTTCACATTAATTGGAATGTTTCGATATGTTTGTAAATAATCTGAAGCCCTCAATTCAATAAAAATATCAAATGAAATGTCACGCATTAGTCTAACTTTAACAAATACTTCTTAACTAAAAAATACTGTCTTGACATAATGTGACTGTCTAACAATTTTAGTTTCACGAAAATTATATTTATTTTATTTTATTTTAAAAAGAAAGGTATAACCTATAGAAATTAGACTTTTTCTTGCGTATAAATTTATTAATCGTAGCATGGATGGCCATGCATGATTGAAAAATTAATAACTTTTAATTATCACCTATTCAAACATCACTGATAAGTTTCGATAGCAGTACACATTTAAACATTGTCATAATTGTAGTTTTATGAAAATTAAAAAAAAAAGTTCAAATCTCAATTATACACTATCGGGGTTTTTGTTCTAGCACAGAGCTGAAGTCCTTCATTACCGGTGGTCACTCGATATCGTGGCTTTAATCCTTATCTCACTACAACTTAATTAACACGGATAGACAAATTTGAACTATCAAATTACAATAAACAACCTTGAACAGAAATATCACAATACAAAATGTACTTTACCTCTAATAAGTTCATTGTTCCGCACTCCTAAACAGATACTGTATAGAATCTTCGTGTAAAGCTATCATAAGCATTATAACTCCTCCGGTCAGTATACCAAGTACTGCGAGGAATAAATTAATACTTTTCCCGTGATTATTCTCATTTATCTCCGGAACTAGATCAGCGAGCGCAATGTAAAAGAACGTCCCAGCTGTGGCCGCGTATATCCATTGGGAGGCCGACTCGTGGTCCTCCGCCAACCAAATACCGCCAGCCATTCCCATAAAACTCAACACCGAGGATAGCAAATTGTAATAAAGGGCACGCCTTATGCTCATACCGGAGCGGAGTAGTACGGCAAAGTCGCCCAGCTCGTGGGGCAACTCGTGGCAAAACACAGCCAGAGCGGTGGCGAAACCCGTTACTGGATCTCCGCTGAACGCGGCACCGATCGCTAGCCCGTCAGTCAAGTTGTGCAGGCCATCACCAACGATTACCATGAGAGCGGTCGACGTCATAGGCCGCTCTACTGGCGGGGGCGGCGACCCTGGCATCATCGCGCCAAGTTCTATCGGTTCTGTTTGCTTAGCGGGTTCCACTTTCACTTCTTCAACTGCCTTCCCATGGGAATGGTCGTGCGAGTGCCCGTGGCCTCCAGTTATCGTTTGCATAACCGCTTCCACGGCGTAGAACAGCAGTATTGTTAAGAAAGTGACGCTGCATTTGAGCACCACTTCGGTTTCTTCCTGCGGTTCGGAGGGCGGCCCGTGCGATTTGAGAGCGTGCGGCAGCAGATGTAGCAACGCGTCACCGCAAAGCGTACCAACTGCTACAGCAACGAGAAAGTGTAACACGTGGCTGAATATAACCGACTTCAATAGAGGCACTATTGCCACTCCGAAAAGGCCGGTTGCGCTAATTACTAGAATGCTCAAGCTTGCATATAACCAGGCTGAAACAGAGAAGGTTCTCTTTTAAAATATTATATTTATGAGATTACTCGCAACAACTTATAAAAATAAATTAATCAGAAGCAGGAAGTATTCTTCTTTTAAGTTAATTTTAATGATGTATCTGTATAAAGTAGCTGCACCAAGAGTAGGGGTATTTATTACTCTACAAAATGTAGAGATTCCTTTTTATTCAGTAATATACATAATTTTTTTTTCTACAGTTTATAGATTAGAAAATTATTTCCATACTAAAATTGACGGAATGAAGCGTAGCAATAGCTTAAAAACAAGCGAGATAAGCGGTAGCTCAGCGCTACCGTGTCTGTAAATATGTATTTCCAATCACATGCATTCTAAATAACTTGAAAATAATCAGAACAGACTAAAGAGTACTCTTTTTACCTAATTGCAATCAAAATATGTTATCATTGATGTTTGTTCGGAAACTTACTCAAATATCTTTCTTGTTTGGGTGGCGGCACTTCAATTTTATAGCACGACCGTTGGTCCAGTTGGTAAACTAGAGCAGGGCACATTTCTAGAAATGTTTTTGGATTAATGGTGATAACTCCTGGCTCATTTTCCATCCCATAAACTTCGAGTATCTCTTTCGGAGATAAACATGGCTTCTTTAAAATGGGTTCTGCTACAACAAAGATACATTTTTTCACAAATTACATGGCATTTCTAGTGAATACATTTTATTTTGAAATGAACCATATTAGGTATATGTACTGTAGTAGGGCCACACATGAGTGAGGTAGCCGGAGTCCTATTTTCAAAAGGTTGTCAACGCATCTGTAACACTCGGGTGTAGCAGATGTCCATGGGCGGCGGTATTCACTTACCATCAGGTGAACCGTCTGCTCGTTTGGCAACTCTTCACATAAAAAAAGTTTTTAAATAGGATGGCAACGGATCTGAAACCCGCCAGGTGCTGTAGATATTCATGGACGGTGGTAATCACTAAACATGCAAAAGCAACACCCGCAATAGTCTTCGCTGTTGCACGAATGGGCAGACCCGTCCAGGTGAAAGATTGGCGTCAAGTGGAAGCGTTATACTTCTGCGTTTCACATCTACATTAGGTGAATCGTCTGCTCCTTTGCTAACTTATACGTATAAAAAATGTGTGAGTACGCACATAAGAAGCTATACTTCTTTAGCGTAACAAAAAAATATCTAACTTAAAATTTTATCCCCTGTGCCAGTGAATAGCCTAGCCTTTGTTAGTGAATGCAAAGACAAGACAATGCAAATGGTAACAGTTTAGATTAATAACTTGAAATATATTTAAATGTTCGGGTAAATGTCAAAAAGTTGTTATTCGTTGCTATGGTAATACTGTCGAAGTTTATCGCTTTACAACCAACTTCATAATGTCGTCGTCTGTGTGCACGCGCGCCGTATAATTCAAATTCGAAAGAATCATAACTCAAACAGATAGTTAAATTAACTAAAAGTTGACAATTATTTATATATATTAACCAGAAGTATGTTAGTCGGTACCATCGATATTAAAAGTAATAACCGAAAGTGAAACAAAAACTTTAATTATACATAGGTCTTTGTGTCTACGAACATTCCACAATGATTTTACTCCTGCTCTGCCGTCAACATTACTCGTTTGCTTGCTTTTCCGGTTATTCCATTTCTTCCTTACCATACTAGTACGTTTTATTCTCTTAGAGCTTTAGTTTTGTTGATTCAATCTCAGTACTGCTGTTAAAAGGAAATTATATTATACTTTTCTTGCTTTGAAGCGAAATCATATTTTTTTTTCTTTCGAGATTTTTTCTCCGCACTAATGCATTCTTTTTTCTCAGAATTATTCATAAAAAAAAATATTGTACAGCATTTATTGTTTGCACAAGACGCGGGTTTGATATTCACGACGCTGATTATTGTTGTTGTTCATTTATCAACAAAATTTCACATCACTACATAGTATAAAACAAAGTCGTCCCGCTGCCTGTCTGTCCCTATGTACGCTTGAATCTTTAAAACTAGGCAAAGGATCTTCATGCGATTTTTTACTAGATAGAGTGATTCAAGAGGAAGCTTTATATGTATAATACATTGCACCCGTGCGAAGCCGGGGCGGGTCGCTAGTTATAAGTATATAAAATAAAAATTCACGTAATATCCGCTAAAGCAAGATTTACTATAAAATAGTATAAAAATTTGATGGAAAAAAGAACTTGTTTCAGGAAGATATTAACGAAGATTGTAACTGATACGAATGAGTTTGTTCTGTTGCGCTGTCGGAGACTCAAGAATCGTATGCTTAGCGTCTAGGCGCGTCGTACTCACCCACGGATTTGTAATAGGATAATCGCAGTTCCCGATTGTGTTGGCCATCCGTCTAGAGTTTTGTTCATTACAATGGTACTGCCGGTAGTAGCTTATGTAATTTTTGTTTTAAAGATGATTAGCGTATATTTAAACACATTTTAATGCAAATTATCTATTTAATATTCATTTCCAAATAATTTTTAAGATTCTACATTCAATGATTAAGATAGACGACTCGGTGGTGTAGTAAGTAGTTGCATGTTGTTGGTCTATTGAATTCGGGGCCGGGGCACAGGTTCGATGCCGATCCGGGACTAGTGTTTTATGTGACCTTCAAATAATTGTTTTGGGTTCTGGGTGTTCGTTGCGAAGGAGGGTTAGACTACAGGCGGGTGGCCGAACGATCGGCCGAAAATCCTAACCCAATATAACTAATTATATCATCTAAGAAGGATGATGAATAGTAATGTTTAATTATGGGCATTATTATTATTATATTTTCAATACCTGTAGATCTACATATATAACACATCATATAACTTGACTTTATCGTCGTGAAAGCAGTAAAAATGACACTACAACGCTTTCTATAAACTCTGAGTTGCCCGCATCAGGTATTTTCCAACATGAATTGAAAAGAATACATATTAAAATTACATTGATAAAATAATTTATGTAAGATCGTTTTTCACATAAAAACTTGTAGGTGTATTGTTAAAGGATAAGTTAAAAATGAATTTAAATAATTTTATGTTTGTAATAGTTGGAATGGAAGTAAATTTTCTGATACTTTACGTAATGGCACGTTCTAGTAATTTGAAAAAAAAAATGGGGTTAACGACCGCACTCGCGGACGACTAACAATTTCTATAGATCTGTACAAGAACGACTGACACAAAAAATTAAAAGATTTACAAAAAAGCACCCAGTGTGATTGATAAAAACAAAAAAGATGATAAAAACAAAAATGTTTGTACAGTTATGTAAATGCTTTGCAAATAGGAGCACTTTTGGGGACTGTGATAAATAAACCGTCACCAAGCCGTTCCTAAGCAGCTGAGAAAATAATTATATATTAATGTATGTATCGGTGTACAAATAGAATATAAGAGGTAGCAAATATCGTGTTATTTATACTGTTATGTGTTCATAATGTTGCGTATTTTGCTTCCTTATTTTAGATATAAATTCACTTTTGTCAAAATATGAGAAAGTGTCCATGTAGAGTACAATTAATGTACAACACAACTTTTTCGTTAAAATTTGTAGAAAAAGTACGAAAAGATTGTCGCCGCTGTGGGAATCGTACCCACGTCTTCGGCATTCGCGACCTGACGCTTTAGCCACTAAGCTAAATGCTGATTTGGCTGATTTGGATGGCACATATATATATATATATATTATCTACATTGTTTTTAGTATTTGAAGCAATGCTTGGCGCATCCATTGTTCCAGCATAAGACAATTTCGAATATCGTTTTACAATGATAATTCGAACGAGAGATGTCGCCATTGCTTTTTAGAAAATATTTTTTTATAGTGCTAATCTCTGCACTTAAGATTAAACATTAAGATTTGACAGACAACAAGACAAATTTTCACCCAATACATATAATGTAAAAGTTATAGCTTTGGTTGATAATGAAAGTACCTGGAGGTTTTTTTGGTAAATCATGTATTTTGGAAATAAAAAAAAATAAGAAATAAAGAAAATGATTTGGTATAGAAAAAAAAAATTAAAAAGTAAGTGTGTAAATGATCGTGACACGAACCGCGGCCTTCTGTTTTGGGGCCGCCCGATTACCGACCGAGCTATTATAACATTTTTTTTGCGGCGAAATTTACTGTCATATTCGAATGATATTTTTCATTCCCTGAAAGGATATTTTCTAAACACGAAACCTAGCTAGACCGATTTTTCGCCCCTGAATATTCGCATATACTAAATTTCATGAAAATCGCTGGAGCCGTTTCCGAGGTTCCGATTATACAGCGTGTCGTTACCATCGCGACAATAAATGAACACACATATAGGGGATAACTTTTTAAAGTTGTATTAAACATTTAAATTCTTTAAACATCAATATTTACAGAGTTATTAAATTTTTGAAAACAAAGAATTTTAGAACACCCTTACCTATAAAAGCGTAACGTAAAGTTCATTTGTAAAGGTCACAAAGCATATGAATGGGTTGAATGAATTTAAAAGAGACAAAACATACTGTTAGAAGGAGAGGCTTGTAATGCGACGCTGTGGCGCAAGTTGTATAGGATGTTACAAATTTTGTTTCTTTTTTACTTAATTAGTTTGTTTGAAAAATATTTTTTTTTAATTATGGATTTTGTTTAACGTTAATATTTTTTTATGATTATTGGCAAGTAGCGTTAGACGTGTGTTCATTTATTGTCGCGATGGTAACGACTCGCTGTATATAAATATATATACAAGAATTGCTCGTTTAAAGGATAAGATAAAAAAAGGTTCTTTTTAAGATTACTTTTGCGCAGTCAACTAATATGAACGACGTACTTTCGTAACTATTTCAGACTATCGTAGATAGCATAATAATTATCCCATAAGATTTTTTTCACTTCAAATACTTATCGTGTTATGAGATTTTATATGTATGTAAAGAAAAATATTATTTTCTTTTATTTAAACATTTTCTTTAATTTAAATATTTTCGCGCACCGGCCGTTGATAAAATTTATTTTAAAAACTATGTTTGTACGCCGGATATAACAGAAAAAGAATTAAGCTGTCATATGAAGCAATTCATGAAAATAATCTGATTACAAAGATATTTAATAAGTAAAATAGTGATTTAGGAATCGACATTGTGATTATTAACATTAAATGTCGTTTCTTTAATTACAGGTAAAGTTTTAATAGTAAAATCTTTTATTTTTGTTATTTTAATTATTATTTTTTAGTTTCAAAATCTTACAATAAATCTTTAATTACAGAGAAACTCAATTGTGTTTTGATTGCTGTGTCATCCTAAACACTGAAAAATATTCTTATATGTATATTTCTATATTTATGACATTATTTAAAAATCTGCCAATTGACTCGGAAAATTATTAGAGTAAAATCTCCATGATGTATTTACTATGTAACGCATAAATAAATGGGCAAAGATAACATTATAGAGCACTATTATGAGAAAGTATTAGAGCGCAACAGTAGGCATGTCCATGAAAACTTATTATACGTTGGTTTGGAATCTATAAATATGTTATACTTAACAGTATCGTATATAACATATCTGTATTTGATATATTGAACCTCTGACTGGTTTTTTGTTATCAAAACAGAGTGTTTGCTATTGTTGGACGAAGCACGGAACCCGATTAATGTATCATATACTTAAAAAAATTACTGCCATCCATTGTGCAGTTACCATTCATTGTAAACTTTAGTGTAACTAACTACCGTAAAGGTCAACGGATTCCCAATGTAGGTACTGACAGTTTCCGCTCAAGGACATTGTTAATGAACTGGCTATTTTTATTTGCAAGAAAATAGACAATTTCCTTGTTTTGCTCAATCAACAATTTTGAAAGAAGGTGGCAGCGAATAGCAGCCTGTTCAACGGATATTCAGTGATTACTCACAATATAACTATACTACATAGTTGCCTAGATCATTAGCAAATGCATAAATACTCCAACCAGGACATCATATCTTACATCTCTGAGATCTTGGCCTCCCTGGATGAGGCAATCCATACCTGCTAAAGCCGATGCTGCCGCGTGGCTTGATGTAATAAAACATTTTTTTTTATGCGAAAAATGGTCAAACGAGCAGACGGTTCACCTGATGCTAAGTGAATACCGCCGCCCATGGACATCTGCCATACCCGAGGGTTACAGCGTTGACAACCTTTTGAAAATTGGGCTCCGGCTACCTCACTCACCAGACGAAACGCGAAAGTATTTGTCATACTTCTACTTTACGCTGGTCTTCTGTGAGGTCGTGGTACTTACCCGGACGGGCCTGCCCATTCGTGTAACAGCCGAGGCTGCTGCGTGGCCCTACCACCGAAAAGTTTACCTCAAGTGCTATAAGAGGAAGCTTCCACTAATTTTAATGATACCTATTACAGTTTAACGTCCGGTTTCAATATTCTACCTACAGATAGATTTGGTTACTAGCGATAGGTTTTTGACATTAGCTCCGTAATACTCACGTCAAATCTCTAACTCCAGAAACTAAATCAATCTGTAGATAGAATATGGAAACCGGCTGTAATTTGTAAATACGCAGATTGCGAATATAACAATCGTCATTTGTTATATTTCTTTGTGCAAAATTAGCATAATTTTAGAGACTTAGCTCATTTCTTCATCTTCCATTTAAGGCAGAAGATAGAGTACGATTTAAGTTAACCAGATCATTGAAGACATACCGATTGCAGGCGATCGCTTGTGCCTGTGTTGGGTATCATGCAATTGACGAAAGGTCCCATTGACGCGGTGGATCGCTAGGTCATGTGGTGATGTGAACACACGCCCACCTAGTCCCAGACTATCCAGGAGATGTTCGAAGCCCTGAAAGAATTTAAGAGTTGCTCATTTAACCTATTAAACAATTTTTATACGCTTAATAAAAAGACCAAATAAACGGCATTTATTTATAGCAAGAGCAAGTGAAACATTAATTTAAACATATTTTTATAGATTTTCAATGTTGTAGGGCCATGCAGCAGCTTCTCCTGTAGCAAGAATGGGCAAATTCGTCCGGAAAATTATAGCGGCCTCTTCATAGAAGACCAGCGTGAAGTCAAATTATTTTAATTTTGCGTTTCGGCTGATGAGTGAGGTAGCCGAGGCCCAATTTTTAAATTGTTTGACAACGCAACTACAACCCATTACGTGTTGTAGATCTCCATAGGTGGCGATAATTACTCCACATTAAGTAGACAAGGCGTTGTCAACTTTTCACATAAAAAAGTAAGTATCTGAAGATAAAATCCACAAAGGCTTGTATAGTTATCAGATGACGAGTTATTTATTAGTATTTGCTAGCTGAAACCAGTCACGATTCTCTGTGGCCTTTTTTCTTTTCCTTTAGAATTTCGGAACAAAAAGTATATAAAAACGCTCGCTTGTTCAATAGCTATCAATATCAAGTCAATCCATCGGATACTTTTTGAGTTTTGTGGCACGAAGATACGGAAGCCAAATCTTTACATAATATAAAAAATAGTCGCTCCCGCTGTTTGTACGCTTAGATCTTCAAAACTATCCATCGGATGTTCATGTAGTTTTCATCAATAGATAGAGTGGTCCAAGAGGAAGGTTTATATGTAGTCTACATGCACATTGTAGTAAAGTAAACCCGAGAAATTTAAAGATTTGTAATGTCATGTAATAAATATTTTTGTGCGCTTACATTGCCAACGCTGGCTTAACCTTACGATATAGTTCAAATTAATGTACTAGGGAATTGTATATCTTAAACAGTTCGAACAAAAATGATTTAGGTGTATCTCCTAACCCACAGTTTCTATTTTTATCTTTTACATATTACAAAAAATATGGGCCATTTACAAAGCTATTTTAAATATTACAGTATTATTCCATATCGAATTAAATACATTAGATATGTTATACATTTCATGTAGATCAAAATTTCACTTTACAGCATATCATTACAATGAATTAAGATATTCATGATATCAGAGATAAGTGAAGGCACAGCGGCTGGTAGGCCGTACATCCGTCCGGTTAGCAGCGGTCGGCGGGCTCGCGCTTTCGAGAGTAACCTCTAAAGAAAACATTTTTTGTATTTTGTATAACTGATGTTACACTTTCATTCCTAAGACTAGTAAAGCTACATCGAACGCAGAAAAGGGCCGCAAACCCGTGGGTTCTGGCTAGCCCCGGTGAGCTTCTCAGTGGGTAGGCCAGATAAAGTTGTCTCGTTGGCCAGAAAAATTTTGGAAAAAGTAATAGCCGGTAGGTGCGGCAAACATATACTAGGTGCCGCCACGTACCTGGCAGGTTTAATGATAGAAGCGTTGCTGGAATTACTTCCGCAACTTCTTCTCCCAACGCCAACGCTTTCCGAAATGGTAGTAATGATAACTTTTGAAATTCTCCTAGTCAGACTATTGCTACCGGTTGAGCCGAGATCCGGCCCTCTCTGGCACTTTCGAATCGGAACGCGGAAGCCGAGGTCGCCTCTCGGGGGCCCTTGAGCCTAGTCACTCCAAGGAGCGTCCGCCAAAGCGCTCAAAGAGCTTGGTGGCCTCCCAAACCGGTGAGAATACGGCGTATAGCGTGACGGCCCGAGCCGAGGCTCTTTTGGAAGCCCTAGATCTTAGTCACCCATAAATCGAGGTACAGGCTAGGCACCCTCGGTGCCCAGCCACCTCAAGGCCAACAGTGTTTGATCAAAAAAAAAAAACAAACGATAAGAGTGAAAATTAAGTACCTAAGTTAACAATAATTATTATTCTTATAACATCATACTTATTTGTAATAAGTATAATAATTATTGTTAACTTAAATAAAAAATATATATTATGTTAGAATTTAATAAGGCTCAAAACGCAATAACTATGATTTTTGTTCACCCAAAAAGTGTTCAACGCGCCTAAAGTAGTTTTCACTTCAACATTTTAGTATAGTTTTTGTTTTCATGGTAAACACAAAGAAATTCAATTATTATTATTAATATCGTACATTTGATCTGTATATATCTACAATTTTGTTTCCTTAAAAGATTGGAATTGTATTAGAGATAAGGATAATTTTGCAATAGAATTTATAAAAATTATGTCAATAAAACGCTTCTGTGTTATATAATATCGCTCCTGACTTCGATTATTTATATTACCAAAAGTACATTTGATAAGCTGTCTCACATGAGTAATTTTATATTATTTAACATGATCGCAGGATAGGACCGGTCGGCAGTGTATAACGACAAACATTACAGTATATACAAATGTACTCTGTAAATTATTAGTACTATTGATTAATGTTTCATATCTGGCACTTTTTGTAGACACCTCGTGGCGGTATTTATTGAAACTGTTTCACATTATTAGTTTTGAACTTTGTTAGCATTTTCATGGGTAGCAAGCCTCACTCCTCAAGGTAAAGCGCGTGGTTAGTACCACTAGCCCCTTTCCCAAAGGCCATGGGGCTCTCCCAGCTCCCATAATAATGCTCCCATGTAATACTCTCTGTACAGAAGTATTTTTACTTTATGCAGATATTATAGGCTTGATACCGAGATATCGACTATAGTACAATCACTACATTGAATTTATAATTAAATAGATTTGGAACACGACAAAGGATATTTATCGATATTATTTCGATGAAAAGAATCTCTATCAATGCAGTCGGAACATGTAAGAAGTATTATCAGACACAGATTGATAATTATGAGATGTATAAAATCTAATAACCATTGTACCGAATTAACCACTGATAAGCTTTAATAAATAAATTAAAAAACAGGTTACTTCTATGCAGTGAACGTAAATAAAATATTTTATTTGCATTCACTGCTTTTATATTACTTTTTTTAACATTCTAATATTTAGTTTGAAAAAATTAGCTTGTATTATTTATATTTTTATATTGTGCTATTGATACTATTTATGTTATTACTATGTAACAGCGAGAATTTGAACCTGCGAGCTCCGGGATACACGCTCGGCTTTTCTTTAATTATATCTAGTATGTTTTTTGTACAATTTTAAGCAATATTTGTCATCTTCTGTGTTTCCTTTACCGCTACCACTTTTCACTTTTTATTTTTTCAAAATCAAAAGTTTATGTTTGGCGCAAGTAAGAAAAAGAATACGTTATTGTCAATTATAAGAATACAAATTAATTATATTTGAACTTTCAATCAACCATTGACTGTTTCATTACTGTGCCATTTTTACATTATCTGTGACATTAATCGGATTAATATTTTCTATTTGTTTCAAGGGGTGGCATTTATCTACGCGAGTGGTTCATCTGAGAAGTTTACCCTCGCGTTTCTAGTTCTAGAATTATATAAGTAAAGCTTCATTAGGCCCAGAAAAACAAAAGGAAAACTTAATGCTAATAAGCATTCTCTTCCAGTCAACCCTGGGAGTAGTGAAAATTTGACGTAGGTGCAAAACAAAATCCAAAATTCTATTTTGAAAAGAGAAAATAACAACATATATTTCTAAATATACCTACTAAATGCAAACATACATACTATAAACTATTAAGTCATTATATTAAGTCATACATATATCTTATCCTTTAAACGAGCGATTCTATATAATCGGAATCTCGGAAACGGCTCCAGCGATTTTCATGAAATTTAGTATGTGTGTAGATTCGAGAGCGAAAAATCGACCTAGCTAGGTTTTATTTTTAGAAAATGTCCTTTTATCCCTGTTTTCTTTCTTTTATTCCTGTTGTTATAATAGGTCGGTCGGTAATAGGGCGACCCCAAAACAGACGGCCGTGGTTCGTATCACAATCATTTACACACTTATTTGTTTATTTTTTTTTCGATTCCAGATCATTGCTTTCTGTATTTTTTATTTTTTGTCGATTTGTTATTTTGTTATTTTTTTCCCTGTTTTTTAAATTCTTTCTTTTGTGAAAAACACCAGTTCATATTTTCTTATTATTACATCGGTAAGATCGAAAAATATTATGCATATTTCATTTCTCAGTAATTTGTATCTAAATGTAATTTCCAAAATACATGATTTACTAAAAAAAAAAACCGAGCAAAGCTTTATATATATATATATATATGTATATATTTTTTATATTTAATTATTTTTATAATTATTTCTTCTTTAGTTTTATAACGTGCTTATCACGTGCTCCGCGGTGAAGGAAAACATCGTGAGGAAACCTGCATATTTTCGAAATAATAACAAAAAAAAGATATATTTCGAAAATATGTGAAGTCCGCCAATCCGCAGTGAGGCCGCGTGGTGGACTATGCCCTGATACCCTCTGTATAGAGGAGGCCTTTGCCCAGCAGTGGGACATGTATAGGCTGTTACTTTACTTTTTACTTTAGTTTTATAACGCCAAGATACTACATTCGATGTTGTTCTATAGCTTTAGGCTTTCTCTGAAATTGGTGAATCTGTATTTTTAATATTGATATTTAAAATGCAATCTGAATTCGTTATTTTTTAATACATGAGTAATTTATATCTTTATCTAAGTGTAATTTAATATTTAAAAGTCTGAAAAAAAAAAGAAATGTATCATTCACAAAAGCATAAAATAATTAATTGTATGGTTTTTGATCTGTGTTCTTTTTCTGTTAACCGTGTAATATAATATACGAATTGCGGAAATGATGACTCAATTCGTAATTAATATCAATATTTTATAAATAATCTATAGCTCCTCACATATTTCTCGTTCGTCAACAATAGTTATTTAATTATTAGACGTGACACGGTGCTTACAATTATACATGAACTACGACAGTATTGACTTGTTTTTTGTCATTTATATTTATTTACCTTTTTATATTGTTTACATCACGACAAGGCTCTAGCTTATAAATGCTTTGATTTAATTATAATTAATTTTAATCACATGCCTGGTCCTTAATTTCAAGTTTTATGTAGTTAATACAATATGCTAAATTTCGCACGACAGATACCGATTTATAATAAGAAATATCTTTAACTATTTTGGACGCATTCACTACATGCTCTTGAAAATAGTCATCGGTGTTTTGTCTTATTATTGCTACTCGTGCCTAGCAGCGATGTATGTGGGCCGCGTATTTTTAAGAACGCCTGCAAGTGTGGGTGGTATTAATATAGATCTTCAAATAAGAAATACTTTAATTTTCTTAGATGATTCTTGATCACCCATCACTTTTACTGAGATCTGCAAACTCACATAGAGTTTCAATACATGTTAACATGCACCTATTTCTCGATAAAAATTTTTGACGTAGCGTAATATAGCAAAATTTAAATGGTATATAAATTATGACAGTGGGATATGAAAAATCTCAGTCGAAAATCGATTTGACACGATAAAATCCGTTAAATATTTTAATTTAACTATTTAAACTTTCCCAGTAATATATGTCAGAAAATATTGTAATATGGAAAAAGAATATGTGACAAAGAAATATGATGTAAGCTTACTTGAGTGGACTGCTCTTGAATTATTATAAGTGATATAATAATATTATATACTTAATCTTGCACTGTTGCATAAATCCACCTAAATAAAATGTTAATTTAGATAATTATTGTAGATGCAATCTACAATAGCAGACACCAAGATGCAAAAATTTACTGACATCTCATCCTTTGTTAATATTAAACACATTGATACAAACACCAACGTATACAAGCGACAACACAAGAATTTAGCCGTGCCATTCCGACGTTTAAAAACTCGCGAGAACAATGGCCATTATCTAGAAGCAATTTTCGCGGTTTTATTTAAGTCGTTGGCAAATTTTAAAAATAAAAGTGAACGTGCACTTTGTACACCTGTTTAATGTGAAAACGTTAAGTGGCCAGATCATAAATTGATTTATACCAAATTTAATTAATGGCTATCAGTATTTGTGCACGAATTTTCTTTTACTTTTAATGGATTACTTTAATGCTGAAAAATCGAGAGCTAATCCGATTCATCACTTATTACTTTCATTTTTTCAAACAGCTAACTAGGTTGATAAGTCAGTAGAAAGTAGTAAACAACGGTGTAATCTATGTTACGATCGACATAAGTAGATTTGGATTTTGTTTTTAGTTTGATTAAAATCAAGTATTTTTAATACTGTGACAGTAGTTCTTCATCTCACAACTTAATAAATAACTAAATAAAACTCAAAAAACAATAACCCATAAAACCTTCAGAATTGTTGAAGAAACTAAAATATTTTATTGATAGAAGACGCAATGGAACAGTTATTTTTAAATCGCTTTGATGCCGATAATTATATGACAGGAAGCAAACATAAACAATTGTTGTCTTTATTCAATAGAAAACTGCAACATTTACTCATGACGGAGGCAGGTAACGATAATAAACATTGAAGCATAATAAGACAACTTACAAGGTGTTTCTAATAGATTTTTTAACGTTGTTGAGTAATTTATAGATAAAGTAACAAATCTATTTTCGAACCGACTGGAGGGACCTTATAAATACGCAGTGTCCGTTATTGGGATTCAAATTTGCGACTTCCCTTTCCGCAATCTGCGCTCGGTGCGCAGACAACAAGGACCAGTTGATACAAACGAAACCAGACAAATGTCGAATTGTTGTGTGTTGTTTTAAATATTTGCCTAGCTCACGCACGTGACAAATCGGCCGATCAAACTCTTGAGTTATGTTTTTTTACAAAAGGAGCGAACATTAAAAAAATCAGAATATATATATATATATATATAATATACCTTGACGTTTTAATGTTCATCAAAAAAACGTTGCGTATTAATCATGCTCTACCGGTAAGCCCTAAATAATGTAATCGGTAGCTTTAACCGAATAATGATAAGAAAATATTTTTCGATTCAGATAAGACACCGATTTACACACACTTCGCAAGAAACGGTTAAGTTCGATGAACTTCCGTTTAGGAAACGGGAAAAGTTTTGGGAAAACAGATACACGTTTTAGAAATTGTCACCGTGCGTAAACAGTATGAACGCGAAAGCCGAAAAATACCTCAAAGACTATACAATACTGTAATAAAAATCGCGTCAATAATTTAAAATTTCCGTAATGCAGAATTATCAGATACATTATTGCAGAAATATCCCGATATGAGCACTAATTGAAATTGATTTCGGACTCACCTCGAACGTGATGACACCTTTGTATCCATACTTGTCGAAGATCTGATTTATGAAATATTGTTCGGCGGGCAGCGTGTTGTTTAGGTCCTTAGTCGTGGCGGCTTGCAGGTCAGGCGCGGCGAGGGACACCGTCGCCAGCACCACGAGGGCACCCGCCTTCAGCATGGCAGCGACTAACCGAGTCGGCGCAAGCGGCCGCTCCGAGCACACTATCGGCCTAGCCTCACCAGACGAGATATGACGCCTCGCTGTTTACGCGCACCGCTTGTTTGTTTGTTTGGTCGCCCGTTCTCGTTATTATCAACGTTTGGGCTGCCAATTGGAAACGTCCGCTGCCAACGTCTCCGTCAAATGAGGCGTGCTATGCGTCTGAGACTTTCACCGCTTAGGTGCCCGGCGTCGAGGCCGGCTCGACTCGAGCGTCGCTATTGATAAAAAGTATTTACGTTGCCAACGGTGAGTGGGAAATCGAATCTATTATGCGAAAGCGTCCATTTTATTCCAAGGACCCGAGTTACGGTTACGTTCTCTAATATTTAGATTTCCTTGTTTGAAAAAAGGGAAAAATCTAAATTATGCGACATACTTCAGTGATCACACTTGAAACTATTGTCCTTTGTGACAAAGATTCTAAACATTGTTATGAGGTAATGAGATAGTTGTTGTACAGTTACTTTATTGATTCAAGACGTATCATAACGATAAGTGTGATGAGTCAATGACGAAGATAGTTCCTATAGAAATTGTCGTTTATCTGTTTTAATTATTTTATTACCGTACTGTCAAAACTCATAAGATGAATTATAGGTTGTTCCATCGACATTTTATTAGGTTATACAAAATTCTCTGGAGGAATTCTTAATTAATAATAGTATTAATCCTAGTCGTAAAGCTTTAATGGGCTACAAGTTCGATTCCCTCTTCTGGGTAAAATTATGTACTTGCATTCCATACACATAATGGTTTAGGTTCGATATTCGTTTAGGTCTTTTAGGGTTATTTCTTGTATGATGGAGATTAAAAACTTTAAAAACCGACACAATACGGCAAGAATTTACGGGAGTTGGGGATGATGCTTCGGAATGTACAAGTAACAAAATCAAAGGGTGGGATAAGCGCAACACTGCGTTGCGGTGTTATATTTTTTATATATTGTATATATTTTTTGTTTCGAACTAAGGTGTTTGAAAGTCTGAACACGTCTTGCATGCCATTATAATTCTCACAAGCATTCCGATCGAACACTCGATGACGTTTTTGTATGGGCGAATTAATGTACGATTTATTTATATTAAATCTAATATTAATATTCCAATAATCATAGTTGTTTCATTTAAGGAATAACTCAAAGACATCGATTCTATTATTTCTCAAACGGAGTCTTAATTAGTATTGGCATCTTATTAAATAATTAATTATTAACATCACATTATAATAAATTTAAGTTATTTTAATGATAATTGAGGTCCGTATATGCGGCTATAACGTTAGCTTCCGATGATTTGGTATTACATTAAGATCATTGTTTTTGTTGACTTCATAATGAGTTGCTAATAGTGATCATCTGTAGAGCAGCTTGTTGTTGTCAAGTAATAGCGAATATCAAACTTTAATTAACAGTTTTTTTGGAACGAAGTTCTAAAGCGCGACTTATGGGATGCGAGTTAGCAGAAAACGTCATGTAAATGACGTAAAGAAATGACATTACACCCCCTCCATTCGAACCTTAAAGGTATTACGTATTCTCTATCTCTTTTTAACATATGCTAGTTTATTGAGTAATCTAATTTGCCTGGCGACGATTTATTTTGTATTTTTTTACAATGTATAATTCTATGATTTAAATCTTATATTCTTAGAAAAATTGCAAATAATATGCTCTACAATATTTAATGAATCTTTTCGATTCCTTGCATTGAATTAAAATATACAAAATAAGAAATATAAATATATATATATATATATATATATATATATATACGTATATATATATATTATTTCGCATTCTACTCAAAATTCAGGAAAAAGCGTAACCTGAAGGAAAAACCTGACTCATGTAATTTTTTTTTTTAATTTTAATATGCCTATTTTATTTTATTTTTCCTATATCAATTTTTCCATAAGTGGTGGGCATTTATTGAAAACATTTATTTTAAATAGAAATAATTAAAGAAATTATAAAAAGTATAATAGGTATATTGGACATTAAATAAGTCCCGCTAGATACATAACTGTCTGGGTTGACTAAACTGCAGCCTTGGAGCACTATAAAGTCTTTGTTAATGATTAAACGTTCACAAGAATTTCATAGACGTAGTTGCTTTTTTAATTAATCAAAACACGAGCCTTTTTTACAATTGTGTCAACTGCTACGCAAATCGATCGAAAATGTAAAACAATTATGTTTAAACTAATAATACGTCCTCCTGTTCCGTTAATCAAACTGTTTGTGAAATTTTTTCGAGTTTTTAAAATAAAAAGTTAAAATTTTGCCATGAATAACTTATTATTACATTTAAATATAATAATGTTATATTATATGTTGTTAATACGTTTGAGCAGCACTGACATAAGATTTATTTATAAATTCATATAAAAAATGGCTTTCGATTTTTGTACCCAAGACCATTTATCGCAATGTAACCGATTTTGAATAATCCAATATTGATTTCTTTGATAGCGATGCGTTGCAAGATGTGTCGTATTACGTCGTAGAAATATGAATTGCGATAATTTTTTGTTATAGTTACAATATACAGAATCTCAAATTATTTTTCTGTTTTCCGGTAGAAGAACTGCAATTGCAAAACTTTGGGATTTCGTATCATATATTCACTCGCAAAACTGTGATTTGATGGTCACGTTATCACAAAACAAGAATTAAGACGTTTAATTAAGATTTGTGGACCTTGTATAATCGCCCTTCTTTCATTGATTGGAAGTTTTTTTTTATGTGAGAAAGTGACAAACGAGCTTGCGATTCACCTGACGCAGAATTGTAACACTTCTACTTTACGCCGGTCTTCTGTGAGGTCGTGGTACTTACCCGGATGGACCTGCCCATTCGTGCCACAGTGAACACTGTTGCATGGTCCTACCACAGTTAAGCTTTTTTCAAAACCAAAATACTTCATATACAGATTTTTCTAAAATAAATGAGTGCGTGTAACCTTTGCACGTAGTTGAAGTAAAACTGAAAAAGCCTTTAAAATCACTCATAAGTAATAGGTAACTTAATAATTAATTATAATTTAATTTTTATTAATGTATTACTAGTAATTAAAGTAAATATTAACGTTTAATTTATTATTTATTAATAAATAAATAAATTATACGTTAATATTTAGGTACTTAAAAATCTAATACTACCGATAAGGAAATTAAAGTTAAAGAAAATCATGAAGGCATGAAAACGTCCATTAAAATGAATGGTTATTCAATGTACCGACTACTAAGATTCCATAAATTCAAACGTTATAAGGCAATAACATAAAAAAAAACTATCAGGTTCGAAGAGATAAGATTACTCTAGCATTTGCGTCCAAGGAATAAGTGGACAAGTCGTTAAGTAAATGATACAGGATAAATATGTAATAAAATAGTCTGCAACACTTGAGCATTGAATGTTAAACATTTAAATGTATATTAATTCACTCATTCATTCGGAGTTATTACATTGGTTTGATAGTACATGCAGTCTCGATGGCTAGATTGGCAGTTTCCACAATTTTCGCTCTGATGACGGTCGCGATGACCTTATCAAACAATATTTTTTATCACGGATTATTTCGATTTAGATTACAATTAAGAAAGCATGCTTAAAACAAAGTTGTTTTGCTTATCCGCCTTTCCAACGTAGTGCAACAAGCTTTCATGTTTGACATTCAGTAAAAAACTAAGTTTTATTATCTCTCAACAGTTGCACTATCTGTGGCTTGAATTGGTTCGGGAGAATCGTAATGCCTCGCCGAAGATCCGCACGGAGTACAATTATTTATATTTTTGTGTATCATTCGGCGTGTTACCCAGAAACCAATGCTCTTGCTTAAATATTTGGAAAATCATCATTTACATCGGTGTCGGGTGTCTAAGTCATTTGGCATCCTTTTATTACGGCCTAATACTTTCCTCGTTTCATCGCGTCACGATGCCTGACAGTGGGTGAACTATGCACTGAGTTTAAACTGAAGGAGATTTTGTAGAGATATAATATGAAAATAGAAGGCAAATAATTCATATCTTGGAGTAAAAATAAATTAATATCAACACCACGGTCTCAAAATTAGTTTCACTTAATGAGAACAAGCTTGAAGTTTTGCATCGAAACCAATATTACAATAAGATATTACAGGTTATTTTTCAAAACCGTACTTAAGCTAAAATATTATTTTTATATATCATCCGGAATTACCTAAACATGCCTTTTCATAAATGTTCATGAAAAACAACTCTTTAATAGCATCTGTTCAAACAATAAATTTGGATATAAATATATTCAAAATAGATAAAAAATATATTCAAAATCAAAAATATAAGTGTAAAGCTGTGTGGAATCTAATTCAAGATTGTGCAACGAGTATGACGAAAAATACACACATTGACATTATTAATTTTAATAATCAGACGTATAGTGATCCCCTGACAATATCGGATAATAAATATTTTATCAATTTGACTCATCATAATATGACACATCACCATTTAAATTCTGACATAGACAAACTAATAAAAATGAGTAATAGTTCATTTTTTTTGTATCCAAGCGACAATGTAGAAATATTTAAAATGATTAATACCTTGAAAAACACCAAAGCAGTAGGCTATGATGAATTACGTACGGACATTTTAAAAATATGTGCCCTGTATATATGTACTCCCTTATCATATATAATTAATTTGTCTATTGAACACGGAATATATCCAGAAAGTTTAAAGTTATCGGTAGTGAAACCCTTATTAAAGAAAGATGACCCATGTGATATTAGTAATTATAGACCAGTTACAATGATACCGATTATTGCAAAAATTTTTGAAAAAATAATACATAAACGCTTACTAGATTATTTCATTAAGCACAACATACTAAGAGAAGAACAATTTGGATTTAGAAGTAATAATTCTACTACTTTAGCTTGCTTCCAATTAATTAAATTAGTTACTGAAAG